TTTAATTTTTTTAAAAAGTTGTACCTCTAATATATTTTGTAGCTAAAATATACTCTCTCCGTCCACTTGTATTTGTCATGTTGCGCTTTTTGAAAGTCCATTTGACTAATTTTCAAAGTTAAATCAGATTGTATTAATTCGATATTTTAAAAAAATAATTAAATATGCAAAATCTATACAAAAAGTACTATAAATTGTAATTTTTTGCCTATGAATATGATGAAAAAACACATTGTAAAATATTAGTTAAAATTCTTATAGTTTGACTCTAAAAAGGAAATCATAACAATTAAAAGTGCATAGAGAGAGTAATAAATAGGTAATTAAATTTCAAGAAGTATATTGAAAATTGAAAACATATAAATAATAAATGGGCCCAAATAAGGTCAAACTTTTTGACTAATAAAGTAGTAGGTAATTAATGGTGTTAAATTGTCCAATAATATAAATTTTAAAGGTAAAACCATAAAAGAAGAATGTACAACACTATGAAGCACATATCATCCACACTTGTCATGTGCTAAGTAGTAGATATTCCACTTATTATATATAGTAATATATATAAATTTTCATTCTTGTAGTCTTAAAATAAAGTTATGTTAAATGTATCAAAACACTCTTTAATTTTGTGACCTTAAACATGGCAAGTGAAAAATTGAAATTAAAGTATTACCAAAAAAGGAAAAAATCATTCATTTTCAAACAGACTAAATAGGAAAAAAAACCATTGTGACCTTAAACATATCAAGTGAAAAAACTGAAATTAAAGTATTATCAAAAAAAGAAAAGATTATTCCTTTTCAAACAAACTAAAAAAGGAAAAAAACCATTATTATAGAAATTGAAAGAGAATTTATTCTGACCAACTTTTGACCAACGGTCAACAGATCTAAGAATTTGTGAACAGATTTTACTATTTAAAGGATGCACAAAGTACAAAAATAATATCATATTACTAATCAAAAATTTTCTAAACAGTAATTGTGATGATGAAGAATGTTGCCTCAAATAATGTTTTTCTTTTGAAGACCCTTTTTTTGTTATGCTCTATTTTAATAGTAACACAAGGTAAATACACTTTTTTTTTCACGAGTCATATTTATTCCAACTTGCATGTATATAATATATTGTTAAATAACTTATTATTTTTCATTTTTTTTTTTTGTTATATGAATTAGCATCAAGAATTGGAAGAAGAGATTTTGAATCAAATCAAGCTTATGCAAGTGGAATTGATGTTTTCAAAATGGAGAAAAATACAAATATTCAGCTTGATGATTCAATAGTAATTGACTATGCACCAGTTCATCAATCGCCAAGTGTACATCATGATCGACCACCACCAAATGATGGTCGTTCAATATAATTTATGAGTCTTTTATTGAATAATATTGATATTTAGTAAAATTTTCTGATGTGCTTCTCATAAGGTGTTTGTATGCCGATTTATTAGTCTTCTTATGTCTTTTGTTGTTTCGATGTTTGACTGAACTTTAATGCATAGACGAAACTTCAAAGATTAATCTTAATTTTTTGACATTTTAATTTAATTTTTAATATGTTTATTTTGAGAAAAAATGATATCCAACAAAAAGAGACATTTTTAAATATAAGTTTTGTTTTGATTTGCAAGAAAAAATAAATTTATGTTAGTACTAGCATAGTTTAATTATGAGGCGAACTTGACCGTAGTCTTAAATTAAAATTATGTCAAATGTATCAAAATGCCCTTTAATCTTGTGGATTTAAACATGCTAATTGCTAAGTGGAAAACTGAAATTAAAATATTACCAAAAATGAAAAAGATCATTCCTTTTCAAACAGACTAAAAAAGGAAAAGAAATCATTCTTATTGTATATTATGTTATTTTAATAAATAAGAGTTTCGAGATTTTTATTTTTTATTTTTACACAAAAGATTTTTTTTTTTTTTTAGACTTAAATATTTTAAATATTTTGGGATGAGTTAATATTAAGAATTTAAATTAAAAAATTATTTTTTTAGAACAAATAAAAGAATTAACTAATTATTAAAGAATTCAATTTAACTAAATTGGAGTTAAGAGTATTTTTAGACCAAAAATGTAATGACCCGTAAAGTCATTTTTAGAAATTTATACAAAATTACTATTTTACCCCTATCGATAGTTGTCCCGAGTCATTTATGATTAGTCGGTGAAGTTGGTTTGAAAATTTGAACTATTCGATAATTATAGTTACTTAATTGGCAGGTATTTATTAAATAATGTCTTTTAATTTAATTGGTAATTAATGGATCAAATTATAATTTGTTTTTACCCATTTATTAAAATAGGTTATTAGGGCTTGTCACTTTTAGAACCTGATTTATTCAGAAAATAAAATAAAGTGGAGCAGAAAACTAACATGCGTGCGTGTGGCGTGAACACGGACCAAAGATGGAGGAACTGAAAGATGGAGGTAGTGTACAAAATCAAACCGAAAATCGAATTAAATCGCAAACTGAATCAAATCGGAAAAAAAACCCGACTAGATGTTTGATTTGACTTGATTTGGTATTGGAAAAAAACCCCCAACTATATTTGGGTTGGTTTGGTTTTAA